TCTCGTTTTCTCTCTTCTCTCTCTGTATCTCTCTCTCTCTCTGTTTCTCTCAATTCAATTCAATTTAAGGGCTTTATTGGCATGGGAAACGTCTGTTAACATTACCAAAGCAAGTGAAGTAGATAATAAACAAAAGTGAAATAAACAATAAATATTAACAGTAAACGTTACACTCCGAAGTTCCAAAAGAATAAAGACATTTCAAATGTCATATTATGTAGATATACAGTGTTGTAACAATGTGCAAATAGTTAAAGTACAAATGGGGAAATAAATCAACATAAATATGGGTTATATTTACAATGGTGTTTGTTCTTCACTGGTTGCCCTTTTCTTGTGGCAACAGGTCACAAATCTTCGGAGTTGATCAAAATTGGATTTATTTTCTAATTCTTTGTGGGTCTGAGGGAAATATGTGTCTCTAATATGGTCATACATTTGGCAGGAGGTTAGGAAGTGCAGCTCAGTTTCCACCTCATTTTGTGGGCAGTGTGCACATAGCCTGTCTTCTCTTGAGAGCCAGGTCTGCCTACGGCGGCCTTTCTCAATAGCAAGGCTTTGCTCACTGAGTCTGTACATAGTCAAAGCTTTCCTTAAGTTTGGGTCAGTCACAGTGGTCAGGTATTCTGCCACTGTGTACTCTCTGTTTAGGGCCAAATAGCATTCTAGTTTGCTCTGTGTTTTTGTTAATTCTTTCCAATGTGTCAAGTAATTATCTTTTTGTTTTCTCATGATTTGGTTCAGTCTAATTGTGTTGCTGACCTGCGGCTCTGTTTGTTTGTGAACAGAGCCCCAGGACCAGCTTTCTTAGGGGCTTTTCTCCTGCGGCTCTGCGACATAACTCCACCAGTCCTACCGATGATATCATTTACGAAGATTATACCTTTTTTAAACATTCTGTCAGAAAATAAAGGTTTTTTGTCAATTAGTATATTTGAATTTAACCACAATATTTGTTGCATTATTTGTTCTGTCGTTTCTGGAGGATTAAATTGAAATTGCAACCAACTTTCTATGGCTTGTTTTAGAAATAGTGACATTTGGGAGATTATTTCCTTTTCAAATAACTGAAAGTGAGAGGTTGTAATCTGAATAAAGGGAAAAAGGCCTTTCTTGAACAGTGGGTGAGACAATCTTACTAATTTGCTTGAGAACCAGTTCGGATTTAAGTATAACTTTTGGATGACTGAAGATTTTAGTGATAGGTCTAATGCTTTAATATTTAATAATTTCTGTCCTCCGAATTCATATTCATTATATAAATATGCTCTTTTAATTTTGTCTGGCTTGCCGTTCCAAATAAAATTGAAATTTTTTTCTCATATAATTTAAAAAACTGTTTGCTAGGCGTAGGCAAGACCATAAGCAAATAGGTAAACTGGGATAATACTAAAGAGTTAATCAGGGTGATTTTTCCACAAATTGACAGGTATTTTCCTTTCCATGGTAGTAAGATCTTATCTATTTTTGCTAACTTTCTATTAAAATTTATTGAAGTGAGATCATTTATTTCCTTTGGGATATGTATTCCGAGTATATCCACATCACCATCAGACCATTTTATTGGTAAACTACATGGTAATGTACAATTTTTATTTTTTAGTGATCCAATACGTAATATAGTACATTTGTCATAATTTGGTTTTAATCCAGAGAGGTTAGAAAATGTATCTAGATCCTCTATGAGGCTGTGGAGGGATTCTAGTTGTGGATCCAAAAGAAAACATGAATCATCTGCGTACAATGACACCTTTGTTTTTAAGCCCTGTATTTCTAATCCTCTGATATTATTATTGGATCTGATTTTAATAGCTAACATCTCGGTGGCCACAATAAATAGATATGCCGATAGTGGACAACCTTGTTTCACTCCTCTTGACAGTTTAAAACTTTCTGAGAAATAGCCATTATTTACTATTTTACACCTAGGGTTACTATACATGATTTTGACCCATTTTATAAGAGATTCTCCAAAATTGAAATGCTCCAGGCATTTATATATAAATTCCAGTCGAACTTTATCAAATGCCTTTTCGAAGTCTGCTATGAATAGCAGGCCTGGTTTCCCATATTTTCCATAGTGTTCTATTGTTTCCAATACTTGCCTTATATTATCTCCAATGTATCTTCCATGTAAAAAACCTGTCTGATTAGAATGAATAATATCCGACAATACCTTTTTAATTCTATGCGCTATACATTTTGCTAGGATTTTTGCATCACAACACTGAAGTGTAAGGGGCCTCCAATTTTGTAAATGGACTGGATCTTTATATTTTCCACTTGTATCCTGTTTCAGTAATAATGAGATCAGACCTTCTTCTTGAGTGTCAGATAATCTACCATTTACATAGGAGTGGTTAAAACATGCTAATAACGGTCCTCTTAGTATATCAAAAAAGGTTTGGTATACCTCGATTGGTATGCCATCCAACCCTGGAGTTTTCCCGGACTTAAAGTCTTTAATTGCATCCAGAAGTTCCTCCTCTGTAATTTCACCTTCACATGAGTCTTTCTGTGTGGCTGTTAATTTGACATTATCAATAGAAAAAAAATCTCTACAATTAGCTTCAGTTAGAGGAGATGGAGGCGACTGAAAAGAAAACATATGCTTAAAATACTTTGTTTCTTCCTTCAAAATATCATTTGGTGAATCATGGGTTTCCGTTTCAGTAAGTTATTTATGGTAGCTTTCCCCTGTTGAAGATTAAAAAAGATTGTGGTGTATTTTCCCCATATTCCATCCAGTTTGCTCTATTTTTATAATATATTACACTTGATCTTTCTTGAATAAGTTTTTCCATTTCTTTTTGTTTTTCCTCTAATTTATTCTGAGCCTCTATGTTACAGTTTTTATTGCCATCTATCTGTTCTGTTAGACTTTCTATTTCCTTTCTTAGTATAAACTCTTTTGACCTAAATTGCTTTTGTTTTCGAGATGAGTACTGAATTGCATGGCCTCTAAAGGCACATTTAAAGGTGTCCCATACAATAAGGGGATTCGCTGTACCTATGTTATGTTGGAAAAAGTCAGTTATAAATTCCTTTGTTCTAATTATAAATAAATTATCATCTAATAGGCTTTGATTAAATTACCAATATCCTCGCCCACGTGGAAATTCAGTCAGAGTAATGTATATGCCTATTATATGATGGTCCGACCGCATTCTGTCCCCTATCAACACTTTTTTTACTTTAGGTGCCAACGAGAATGAGATAAGAAAGAAGTCCAGCTTTCTTAGGGGCTTTTCTCCTGCGGCTCTGTGTGTTTGTGAACAGAGCCCCAGGACCAGCTTTCTTAGGGGCTTTTCTCCTGCGGCTCTGTGTGTTTGTGAACAGAGCCCCAGGACCAGCTTTCTTAGGGGCTTTTCTCCTGCGGCTCTGTGTGTTTGTGAACAGAGCCCCAGGACCAGCTTTCTTAGGGGCTTTTCTCCTGTGGCGGTCATTCAATTTTGTCAGCCTGTGATTGTCAAGCATATAACTGCCAGTCTCACGGTAATTGACCGTTAATGAACATAAACACATTTAGCATCTCCTGTCTTCCACTCATAGCCTACAAGCCACTGATGCAGACCTTTGGAACATCTACATTTGAAAAAGTCTAATAAATCCATGTAATATAGCCTACACCTTCACAATAAATCCATTATTTATTTAAGACAGGTCTAAAGAAACATGATATGCAGAAAATGTAGTCTATTTCAGAAGAACAGAATAGCATCCTCTGAGTTGTCCTTATGTTAGGTCCTGATCTGGCTATGCCATATGGCTGTGGGCTACACTAGTTCATTTAGCAGACAAGATTTACTTAGAATTCCGTGGCATTATTTTATATTATTTTCAAATCAAATCAAATTTTATTTGTCACATGCGCCGAATACAACAGCCCTACTCTCAGATCGTTCACAGCTTTGTGGAAGTTACCTGTGGCCTGATGTTTAGGCCGAGGTATGTGTAGTTTTTTCTGTGCTTTAAGGCAACAGTGTCTAGATGGAATTTGTATTTGTGGTCCTGGCAACTGGACCTTTTTTGGAACACCATTATTTTTGTCTTACTGAGATTTACTGTCAGGGCCCAGATCTGACAGAATCTGTGCAGAAGATCTAGGTGCTGCTGTAGGCCCTCCTTGGTTGGGGACAGAAGCACCAGATCATCAGCAAACAGGAGACATTTGACTTCAGATTCTAGTAGGGTGAGGCCGGGTGCTGCAGACTGTTCTAGTGCCCTCGCCAATTCGTTGATATACTGTATATAGCCATGTTATTACCTGGTACCCCTGCACATCCACTCAGTACTGGTACTTCCTGTATATAGCCATGTTATTACCTGGTACCCCTGCACATCCACTCAGTACTGGTACTTCCTGTATATAGCCATGTTATTACCTGGTACCCCTGCACATCCACTCAGTACTGGTACTTCCTGTATATAGCCATGTTATTACCTGGTACCCCTGCACATCCACTCAGTACTGGTACTCCCTGTATATTGCCATGTTATTACCTGGTACCCCTGCACATCCACTCAGTACTGGTACTTCCTGTATATAGCCATGTTATTACCTGGTACCCCTGCACATCCACTCAGTACTGGTACTTCCTGTATATAGCCATGTTATTACCTGGTACCCCTGCACATCCACTCAGTACTGGTACTTCCTGTATATATCCATGTTATTACCTGGTACCCCTGCACATCCACTCAGTACTGGTACTTCCTGTATATAGCCATGTTATTACCTGGTACCCCTGCACATGGACTCAGTACTGGTACTCCCTGTATATAGCCATGTTATTACCTGGTACCCCTGCACATGGACTCAGTACTGGTACTCCCTGTATATAGCCATGTTATTACCTGGTACCCCTGCACATCCACTCAGTACTGGTACTTCCTGTATATAGCCATGTTATTACCTGGTACCCCTGCACATCCACTCAGATCTTCACACTTCTACATCAGGTGAAACATCTGGCTTGTTGTTCTGTCTGTGTTTCCAGGGTGACAGAGAAACCTTTGAGAACTACTACAGGAAACAGAGGAAGAAACAGGCCAGGCTGGTGCTGCAGCCTCAGGCTAACATGGTGAGGATGGAAACCAGCTTCTGTTCTTCATTCTGTCTCTTCTCCCTCTATCGGTTCCCCTCTATCTGTTCCCCTCTATATGTTCCCCTCTATCGGTTCCTCTCTATCGGTTCCCCTCTATCTGTTCCCCTCTATCTGTTCCCTCTATCTGTTCCCCTCTATCTGTTCCCCTCTATCTGTTCCCCTCTATCTGTTCCCCTCTATCTGTTCCCCTCTATCTGTTCCCCTCTATCTGTTCCCCTCTATCTGTTCCCCTCTATCTGTCCCCCTCTATCTGTCCCCCTCTATCTGTCCCCCTCTATCTGTCCCCCTCTATCTGTCCCCCTCTATCTGTCCCCCTCTATCTGTCCCCTCTATCTGTCCCCCTCTATCTGTTCCCCTCTATCTGTCCCCCTCTATCTGTCCCCCTCTATCTGTCCCCCTCTATCTGTTCCCCTCTATCTGTTCCCCTCTATCTGTTCCCCTCTATCTGTTCCCTCTATCTGTTCCCTCTATCTGTTCCCCTCTTATCTGTTCCCCTCTATCTGTTCCCCTCTATCTGTTCCCCTCTATCTGTTCCCTCTATCGGTTCCCCTCTATCTGTTCCCCTCTATCTGTTCCCCTCTATCTGTTCCCCTTTATCTGTTCCCCTCTATATGTTCCCCTCTATCTGTTCCCCTCTATCTGTTCCCCTCTATCTGTTCCCCTCTATCTGTTCCCCTCTATCTGTTCCCCTGCGCCACTCAGTCTCCTGAGTGGCGCAGTGGTCTAAGGCGCTGCATCGCAGTGCTAACTGTGCCACTAGAGATCCTGGTTCGAATCCAGGCTTTGTCGCAGCCGGCCGCGACCGGGAGACTCATGGGCGGCACACAATTGGCCCAGCGTCGTCCAGGGTAGGGGAGGGAATGGCCGGCAGGGATGTAGCTCAGTTGATAGAGCATGGCGTTTGCAACGCCAGGGTTGTGGGTTCGATTCCCACGGGGGGCCAGTATAAAAAAAATATGTATTCACTAACTGTAAGTCGCTCTGGATAAGAGCGTCTGCTAAATGACTAAAATGTAAAATGTAAATGTCTCTATCTGTTCCCCTCTATCTGTTCCCCTCTATATGTTCCCCTCTATCTGTCCCCCTCTATCTGTCCCCCTCTATCTGTCCCCCTCTATCTGTCCCCCTCTATCTGTTCCCCTCTATCTGTTCCCCTCTATCTGTCCCCCTCTATCTGTTCCCCTCTATCTGTTCCCCTCTATCTGTTCCCCTCTATCTGTTCCCCTCTATCTGCTCCCCTCTATCTGCTCCCCTCTATCTGCTCCCCTCTATCTGTTCCCTCTATCTGTTCCCCTCTATCTGTTCCCCTCTATCTGTTCCCCTCTATCTGTTCCCCTCTATCTGTTCCCCTCTATCTGTTCCCTTCTCTCCATATCTGGATCGGTTCCCTTCTCTTCTCCATCCATTGATTAGTAGTTGTTCCTCTAAACCTCCACCTAATATTCCTGTGTGTTTCCTGGGTCAGCACGAGACAGTGGAGGGGTACCGGCGGTACTTCAATCAGATCCTAGGGTTTTTCGTGGTGGAGGATCACATTCTGCACGCCACACAGGGACTGGTGACCAGAGCCTTTACTGATGAACTGTGGAACATGGCCCTGTCGAAGATCATTGCCGTGCTCCGCACACACTCTGTGAGTACCGCTCAAGCACAAACACACGTACACACTGTGAGTACCGCTCACACACAAACACACACTGTGAGTACCGCTCACACACAAACACACATACACACTGTGAGTACCGCTCACACACAAACACACATACACACTGTGAGTACCGCTCACACACAAACACTCTGTGAGTACCGCTCAAACACAAACACACGTACACACTGTGAGTACCGCTCAAGCACAAACACACGTACACACTGTGAGTACCGCTCACACACAAACACACATACACACTGTGAGTACCGCTCAAACACAAACACACATTCACACAGTGAGTGCCGCTCACACACAAACACTCTGTGAGTACCGCTCACACACAAACACACATACAAACTGTCATTACAGCTCACACACACACACACACACACACCTGGATGTGAGGGGGAGCGAGTGGCCTGGCTCGACCATGACAAGGTCTATGGGGTCATGGAGGGCTCAGCCCTGTGTCTTTTTGGGATTGAAAGTCCCCTAGCAGTGAGAGGGCCAGGGTAGCAGTCACATTAACCCCAGCAGCGGGGTTTGACCAGGCCTTTGTTTGACCTCAGGACCCTGGCTGTGAGACCCTGTGAGTCCCAGCCCTGGGATATTACCATCATCCCTGACTGATTTCCAACTGCCTGTCCCCTGCTGCCTCCTCCTCCACACACTCTGCCTGTCCCCTGCTGCCTCCTCCTCCACACACTCTGCCTGTCCCCTGCTGCCTCCTCCTCCACACACTCTGCCTGTCCCCTGCTGCCTCCTCCTCCACACACTCTGCCTGTCCCCTGCTGCCTCCTCCTCCACACACTCTGCCTGTCCCCTGCTGCCTCCTCCTCCACACACTCTGCCTGTCCCCTGCTGCCTCCTCCTCCACACACTCTGCCTGTCCCCTGCTGCCTCCTCCTCCACACACTCTGCCTGTCCCCTGCTGCCTCCTCCTCCACACACTCTGCCTGTCCCCTGCTGCCTCCTCCTCCACACACTCTGCCTGTCCCCTGCTGCCTCCTCCTCCACACACTCTGCCTGTCCCCTGCTGCCTCCTCCTCCACACACTCTGCCTGTCCCCTGCTGCCTCCTCCTCCACACACTCTGCCTGTCCCCTGCTGCCTCCTCCTCCACACACTCTGCCTGGGCCCTCCGAGCACACAGCACTTTACCATATTCACACTAGTTCATCTGCTGTTATTGTTGCAGTCTGTCCCCATTAGGCTCAGATGACCTGAGCTCTTCGTCAGATCAATCTGAATGGAGCCCTGCTCAAAGCTGCTCACTGGGAGGGCCTACCAGGAAGAAGTGCCTAGATACCAATGATCATTCCTAACACTTCCAGATAAACCCTTAACTCACCCAGAAGACCGGGAGTAAGACTGTCCCTTTTCCATTTGAATGTGAAGGAAACAGGACTTTTTGATCCCCTCTCATTTCCTCTCCAGTCGTACTGCAGTGATCCCGACCTGGTGCTGGAGCTGAAGAACCTCATTGTCATATTTGCAGACACATTACAGGTGAGACTTGTCCAGGTCTTCTGAATTAAATCTAGAGCTCTTATAAAGGTATGAGTGAAGCAGCTGTTAATGTCTATCAATGTTCTGTATTATGTCATGTTTCATGTTCTGTGTGGACCCCAGGAAGAGTAGCTGCTGCTTTCGCAACAGCTAATGGGGGATCCTAATACAATACCCAATAGCCAAGCAGGTTGGTCATTAACCAGTGGACCTAAGATTGGGATGCCTCTGGTTTGTGACCTCCCCATCTCTCCCTCTCTCTCTCTCTCCAGGGTTATGGCTTCCCAGTGAACAGACTGTTTGACCTGCTGTTTGAGATCAGAGATCAGTACAATGAAACGCTGCTGAAGAAATGGGCTCTGGTCTTCAGGGAGATCTTTGAATTGGACAACTACAGCCCGATCCCTGTAGAAACCGAAGAAGAGTACAAGTCTGTTATTAGTAGATTCCCCTTCCACGACGCAGAAATTGAAAAGGTTTGTCCTTCATTCAACACCCCTTAAACGGACTAACTTCACGACATTCCGATGTGATTTAAATGTCAAATGCTTGAACTGGTGTTTTAAAGTCGATGGCCTACGCTCCTTATAGAGGTCCAAGGGGCTTAGTCAGGTAAAGCCAAATAACCTGTGTTTTATCTGCTGTCGCCCAACAGCAAGCCTTTCCAAATAACCTGTGTTTTATCTGCTGTCGCCCAACAGCAAGCCTTTCCAAATAACCTGTGTTTTATCTGCTGTCGCCCAACAGCAAGACTTTCCAAAGAAGCTGCCCATGTCTCAGTCTGTTCCTCAGATCTACGTCCAGGTCAAGGAGTTCATCTATGCCAGCCTTAAATTCTCCGAGTCACTGCATCGCAGGTGAGTCAGTCAGCCCATAGGCTGCTCCCCAAATGGCACCCTACTCCCTATGTAGTGTACTACTTTAGACCAGGGTCCATAGGACTCCCTATATAGTGTACTACTTTAGACCAGGGTCCATAGGACTCCCTATATAGTGTACTACTTTAGACCAGGGTCCATAGGACTCCCTATATAGTGTACTACTTTAGACCAGGGTCCATAGGACTCCCTATATAGTGTACTACTTTAGACCAGGGTCCATAGGACTCCCTATATAGTGTACTACTTTAGACCAGGGTCCATAGGACTCCCTATATAGTGTACTACTTTAGACCAGGGTCCATAGGACTCCCTATATAGTGTACTACTTTAGACCAGGGTCCATAGGACTCCCTATATAGTGTACTACTTTAGACCAGGGTCCATAGGGCTTTGGTGAAAAGTAGTGCACTGTGTAGGGAAGTGGGTGCTGTTTGGGACGCAGCCATAGATGCTATGAACTATGAACCTGTTCTATTTAATACTGTGGGTCAGTCTAACGTCTTGTTACAACATTCCACCAACGCACAGTCATTCAGATCAGCTCTCACAGGTATTCTTCCTGCTTAGTGGGTTAGCAAACGGCAGCGCTGCAGAGTTTGTTATTTACACTAGCATGCTAAGGTTTTGTCTGGTTGGTCAACATACTAAGGTTTTGTCTGGTTGGTCAACATACTAAGGTTTTGTCTGGTTGGTCAACATGCTAAGGTTTTGTCTGCTTGGTCAACATGCTAAGGTTTTGTCTGGTTGGTCAACATGCTAAGGTTTTGTCTGGTTGGTCGACATGCTAAGGTTTTGTCTGGTTGGTCAACATGCTAAGGTTTTGTCTGGTTGGTCAACATGCTAAGGTGTTGTCTGGTTGGTCAACATGCTAAGGTGTTGTCTGGTTGGTCAACATGCTAAGGTTTTGTCTGGTTGGTCAACATGCTAAGGTTTTGTCTGGTTGGTCAACATACTAAGGTTTGTCTGGTTGGTCAACATACTAAGGTTTGTCTGCTTGGTCAACATGCTAAGGTTTTGTCTGGTTGGTCAACATGCTAAGGTTTTGTATGGTTGGTCAACATGCTAAGGTTTTGTCTGGTTGGTCAACATGCTAAGGTGTTGTCTGGTTGGTCAACATGCTAAGGTTTTGTCTGGTTGGTCAACATGCTAAGGTTTTGTCTGGTTGGTCAACATGCTAAGGGTTTGTCTGGTTGGTCAACATGCTAAGGTTTTGTCTGGTTGGTCAACATACTAAGGTTTTGTCTGGTTGGTCAACATGCTAAGGTTTTGTCTGGTTGGTCAACATGCTAAGGGTTTGTCTGGTTGGTCAACATGCTAAGGTTTTGTCTGGTTGGTCAACATGCTAAGGTTTTGTCTGGTTGGTCAACATGCTAAGGTTTTGTCTGGTTGGTCAACATGCTAAGGTTTTGTCTGGTTGGTCAACATGCTAAGGTTTTGTCTGGTTGGTCTACATGCTAAGGTTTCGTCTGGTTGGTCAACATGCTAAGGTTTCGTCTGGTTGGTCAACATGCTAAGGTTTTGTCTGGTTGGTCAACATACTAAGGTTTTGTCTGGTTGGTCTACATACTAAGGTTTCGTCTGGTTGGTCAACATACTAAGGTTTTGTCTGGTTGGTCAACATGCTAAGGTTTTGTCTGGTTGGTCAACATACTAAGGTTTTGTCTGGTTGGTCAACATGCTAAGGTTTTGTCTGGTTGGTCAACATGCTAAGGTTTTGTCTGGTTGGTCAACATGCTAAGGGTTTGTCTGGTTGGTCAACATGCTAAGGTTTTGTCTGGTTGGTCAACATACTAAGGTTTTGTCTGGTTGGTTTACATACTAAGGTTTTGTCTGGTTGGTCAACATGCTAAGGTTTTGTCTGGTTGGTTTACATACTAAGGTTTTGTCTGGTTGGTCAACATGCTAAGGTTTTGTCTGGTTGGTCAACATGCTAAGGGTTTGTCTGGTTGGTCAACATGCTAAGGTTTTGTCTGGTTGGTCAACATACTAAGGTTTTGTCTGGTTGGTTTACATACTAAGGTTTTGTCTGGTTGGTCAACATGCTAAGGTTTTGTCTGGTTGGTCAACATGCTAAGGGTTTGTCTGGTTGGTCAACATGCTAAGGTTTTGTCTGGTTGGTCAACATACTAAGGTTTTGTCTGGTTGGTCAACATGCTAAGGTTTTGTCTGGTTGGTCAACATGCTAAGGGTTTGTCTGGTTGGTCAACATGCTAAGGTTTTGTCTGGTTGGTCAACATGCTAAGGTTTTGTCTGGTTGGTCAACATGCTAAGGTTTTGTCTGGTTGGTCAACATGCTAAGGTTTTGTCTGGTTGGTCAACATGCTAAGGTTTTGTCTGGTTGGTCTACATGCTAAGGTTTCGTCTGGTTGGTCAACATGCTAAGGTTTCGTCTGGTTGGTCAACATGCTAAGGTTTTGTCTGGTTGGTCAACATACTAAGGTTTTGTCTGGTTGGTCTACATACTAAGGTTTCGTCTGGTTGGTCAACATACTAAGGTTTTGTCTGGTTGGTCAACATGCTAAGGTTTTGTCTGGTTGGTCAACATACTAAGGTTTTGTCTGGTTGGTCAACATGCTAAGGTTTTGTCTGGTTGGTCAACATGCTAAGGTTTTGTCTGGTTGGTCAACATGCTAAGGGTTTGTCTGGTTGGTCAACATGCTAAGGTTTTGTCTGGTTGGTCAACATACTAAGGTTTTGTCTGGTTGGTTTACATACTAAGGTTTTGTCTGGTTGGTCAACATGCTAAGGTTTTGTCTGGTTGGTCAACATGCTAAGGTTTTGTCTGGTTGGTCAACATGCTAAGGTTTTGTCTGGTTGGTCAACATGCTAAGGTTTTGTCTGCTTGGTCAACATGCTAAGGGTTTGTCTGCTTGGTCAACATGCTAAGGTTTTGTCTGGTTGGTCAACATTCTAAGGTTTTGTCTGGTTGGTCAACATGCTAAGGTTTTGTATGGTTGGTCAACATGCTAATGTTTTGTCTGGTTGGTCAACATGCTAAGGTTTTGTCTGGTTGGTCAACATGCTAAGGTTTTGTCTGGTTGGTCAACATACTAAGGTTTTGTCTGGTTGGTCAACATGCTAAGGGTTTGTCTGGTTGGTCAACATGCTAAGGTTTTGTCTGGTTGGTCAACATACTAAGGTTTTGTCTGGTTGGTCAACATGCTAAGGGTTTGTCTGGTTGCTCAACATGCTAAGGGTTTGTCTGGTTGGTCAACATGCTAAGGTTTTGTCTGGTTGGTCAACATGCTAAGGTTTTGTCTGGTTGGTCAACATGCTAAGGTTTTGTCTGGTTGGTCAACATGCTAAGGGTTTGTCTGGTTGCTCAACATGCTAAGGGTTTGTCTGGTTGCTCAACATGCTAAGGTTTTGTCTGGTTGGTCAACATGCTAAGGTTTTGTCTGGTTGGTCAACATTCTAAGGTTTTGTCTGGTTGGTCAACATGCTAAGGGTTTGTCTGGTTGGTCAACATGCTAAGGTGTTGTCTGGTTGGTCAACATGCTAAGGTTTTGTCTGGTTGGTCAACATGCTAAGGGTGTGTCTGGTTGGTCAACATGCTAAGGTTTTGTCTGGTTGGTCAACATGCTAAGGTTTTGTCTGGTTGGTCAACATGCTAAGGTTTTGTCTGGTTGGTCAACATGCTAAGGTTTTGTCTGGTTGGTCAACATGCTAAGGTTTTGTCTGGTTGGTCAGCACCTTCCTCATCCTGCTGTTGTCTCGGTCAGATGAAGTCATATCTGTAATAGGTGTGAGAGAGAGTGTTGACCTTCAGCTGCCCCAGTCCGAGCCAGGCTGTCCCCTCACTAGGGTCCAAAGGACAGGGGTTTTCAAACTAAGCAATTTGTTTAACTCATTATTTTATGAATATCTCTTGCTGCAACACTACCATAGTGGATAACAGTGTTATGTCTCTGCGTCCAGTATGAAGGAAGTTTGAGGTAGTTTCACGATCCAATGCTAACTAGCGTTTGCGCAATAGCTGGAAGTTTACAGGAACAGTTAGCATGCTTGCTTGTTCTTGTTCGTCCGACTCTGGGGAAGTAGATACATTGCTTCATTGCCAAAATATCAAACTATCCCTTTAATATGGAGGAAATTATTAATTGGAGCTAGTTACAGGGTTTTTGCTGGATAGACAATTAGACGGGCTGTCGTGGTCGTTTCTTGGGTATAGAAAGCATGCAGAAAAGATTTGGAACTATATTTTTTAATAATATCATCTTTGAGAACTAACAATCAAATAAAAGCTAGACAGTCAGGGATAAATAAATATATATATATATATATATTATTATTATTATTATTATAATAATTTTTTTACGGGCATTTAGTGCACATGTCCACTGATTTTGGTATAATGTTTGAGCAGAGGAACACAGCATTAGCTATGGCAAAATGCATAGAATTGCAGAACATTTGCTTTACGACAGCAAAATATTCTCTACGCTGCCAAGATACTTTTATCTTTCTAGCTAATAGACCACTACTGTTCAGCTACTTTGGGAAATATTGAATGTGTATTTGAATGTCATTTTGTTTTCTGAGTTGAA